TCAATCATCGTTATACCTTTTCATGAGGTAAGCGTCTCTAATCCTCAGCGTCACCTCCCAGAAGCTCACCTGTCTGCATAAATTACCTACTGCCTCCCACACGTACCCCAAAACATCTCAGAATATTGGGTAAAGATTAAAGCAATCATAAGGATCTCTTCCCTTTGATTAGCTCTCTAGACCAGGGTTTTTCCACAGCAGTACTAATGACATTTTGGGTACAACAATTCTTTGTTGTGGAAGGCTGTCCTGTGTATTGCAGGATATTTAGCAGCATCCCTGGCCTCCACCCATTAAACACCAGGAGCACCCAGCCCCCGGGGTGCAACAATCAAAAGTGTCTCTGAACATTGCCAAATGTCCCCTGTAATATATTCCCTAGTTGAGAACCTCTGTTTTAGAGGCCTCAAGGTACCTTCCTGTTCAATATTATCTTCTCTAGTCTAATCAAATAACAGAGTTTCAGGAGGATTCTGACCTAATAACTATCGGATATTTACGACCTAAATGAAGACAGTTAAAGCATCATCCACATTTTTTTTCCTGTAAACAAGAAAAGCATTTATTTCTCGCGCTCTTGCCAAAAAGTACCTCCATCCCCTAAGACTGAAGAGATCACTAACACCAGGCCAAAGCCAAATCACTTGCTTCCAAAATCGCCATTGTGGAGCACGCGGGCAGCTTCCCTAGAGAGCGTCTCAGGATGTCTGTGGATCCCTGCCCGTCACAGCCACGCAAGGTCACCGTTCCGGCGATGCAGCGAGGCTCTCCACCGCCTGCTCCCTGCAACTTCCAGCCTCCTGCAGTACCCCTTCCTACCACTGGGCGGCAGGCGCATGCTTCCCAGCGCCCGGAGCCCTCGGCTCTGCCAGCGAGGGAATGAGGACGGGTTTGCTCACCGGAGAGCTCTTCGGCCCAGCAACCCCGAACAAAGAACAGCGGTAATGATCGTGCTAAATGGGAAACTGTTGGAATGGGATTCTCTTTACTCCGGCAATTATTAATAAATGAAAGCACATGAAAGACCAGAGAGAAAAGGAATCATTTAATTAAAGTTCTAATGAAAATTAAGCCATCCCAGAAATAGAAATGGTATTTATGTTGTTCCCATTTTAAGTGACCCAGCTAGTTCCTATTTTCACAAAACAGTCGTTGATCTCACCCGGCAGGGCAGGGCACAGATTAGTGGTTCTCTGTGACAGATAGCTGGAGGGTTGAGTCGCCCTGAAGAAGACAACGTCTCTTAAAACCTGCACCTTAGAAATATGTGGCACACCGCCCCCCGGCCTGGTCCAGGGGGTTCTCTGGGGCTGAGGTGGGTTTCATGCCCTGGCCTCTCCACGGTGAAGCAGAGCTCCCAGCTAGTATGTCCCTAGCAGCACGGAGAGGGGCATGGCACAAATATCTCCCCCCTGTGATCGGAGGTCACAATGGTGGGCCATTTATCTCCTCTCACGGTGAAGCAGAGCTCCCAGCTAGTATGTCCCTAGCAGCACGGAGAGGGGCATGGCACAAACATCTCCCCCCTGTGATCGGAGGTCACAATGGTGGGCCATTTATCTCCTCTCCCCTGGGATGAGTCCTTTTGCTTGGCTGTCACAGGGTGTGGGTAGTGATGGGGTAGTGAGGGAGAGGGTAAGTCCGGAAGGTCGTTTGTGCAACACCAGTGGGAGGAGTTCTTCCATCTCCTAAACTCGCTCTGTATGTCCATTAGGGAATAGCTGTCCTCTGGACTCTTGATTGATCCCCAGAGCAATGGGGTGCTAAAGGTGCCTAAGTCTCTGCAAGTCAGGCCACCATCACCTTTTCTAAGTCACCCCAGAACCCTAAAGGACCAATACTCCCACAAAGGATAGCCTGGCCCAAGGAATAGAATACGCTCGTGTGCAGATAATACAGAGAAAGACAGGGTGGGGCTGCACAAAGAGTGGGGATTGACACCTTGTTTTCTTAAAAAAAGAAATTTAAGCACTAGCTAAGAATGAGGTAGGATCTGCCAAGTCTGTCCATAGGTCTCAGGGAATAATCAAAATGAATAATGTCTATTGTCTTTTCATGCTCAGAGCTTGCACAGTTTTTATGGCTTGTATCAGTCGACTAGGAACTTAGCTGTGTATTGACTTTAGTCTCCTTTTCATGTGTACTGGGTTATTGTGAGCCGGACTGGAAACCAGGGGCAGGGTTCTCTGCCTCTTGGGCATGCACCCATGTGCTTGGTCCAGTCTACATGCTTGGCTTGCTCTTTTAAATAAAGTACACACACACATATAAACTATAAAATAAAAACATGCCCATGATAAAAATAAATAAATAAAAGGTAGAAAAGAGTGGCCCCAAATCCAGCACTGTTAATGTTTTGTATATCATGTGAAA